TGATTGTTCTTGTTTGAATGTTTTGTTCGAATTACTTTCTTTGTTTGGAGACGAATTTTGAGATAATTGCTATTTGCTTTATTTGGATATGTTTCATGATATTGATAATATGCTGTTTTGATTTTTTTAGGTTAATTTTATAACTTTATCACTGATCTTTGTGATTTTATTGTTCTAAAATTAGTGGGATTAGATAATGTATTCAACAGGAATTAATGTGTTGGAGTTAGTTGTGTTTGGCATGATTGTCTCTCGTACATGTTTGTGGTTGGTCTTGAATAGGGATTCAGCTGCTCGCATGCTTTGTTGATTGACTTTACTCAAGCGTTTGGGGGAACTGGGGTCGTTTTGTTGTTCTTGAAAACAGAGAGGTAATTGTAGGGGCTGATTTTCAGTGGATGGGGGTATAATTGCAGTAGCTAATGTTGGAACTGTTGATATTTGTTGTTATATTGAGGCCTGATTGTTCTATGCTATTACTTTGGTGTATCTTTTTCGTATGTTTTGTATGATTATCATCTTGCGAACCTGCTACTGGTGTGTTGAAAGTGTTTGCACACGATTTTTGTGATTTTGCTATGATGCAATTTTTTGCACTTCTTTTTTCTTTATTGATGTAATGCTTTGATTTCATTAATAAAAGGTTTTGTTTGCTGATAACCAAAAAAAAAATTATCTTTCGTAATTTTAAAAATTACATGCTACCCCCTTCACATTTTTATTTGCATAATAAATTACTCATTTTATTAATAAATTATTAAATCAATTGACAATTTTCAATAATTTCAAAAAATTATTTCTGATAATTTTATTGTTATATCGGAAGGTAATTAAGAATTTTACTTTATTTTTGTAAACAAAAATTCTAACAATGAGATATTTGTAATTTTCAGAATCACGATGAATAATTCGTATTTTAAAGAAATCCAAAATGTGTATTTATAATTTATCCAAAAAATACTAGTGGGATGTCATTTTCAAAGTTAAGATTTTAATTTTTTTTTGAAAAATATTTTGTTCGTTCCAAACAATACAAAAATATTTTTCAATGTTAACAAAACACCGAAAATTTAAAACGTAAAAAAGAAATTTCGCGAAAACATTTTACATGAAAAATATTTTATGATGTCAAATGTTTTATATCGAAATAAACGGAATTGGGTAAATGACAAATATATTTTTTGAGATTTGATTAAAATACAAATCACCTTTTATAGTTTTAAAAATTGCATTTCACCTTTTGACATTTTTTATTTCATAACAAATTGTCCATTTTATTAATAAATTATCAAATTAATTAATAGTTTTTAATAATATTAGAAATATGTTTCAATTAATAATTTAGATAATTTTATTATTATATAAGAAAGAAATTATTAATTTTATTTTTTTAATTAATTCTATTAAATAAAAAATTTTAACAAAAAAATATTTATACTTTTTAAATTACAAAAAATAATTTGTATAAATTACCAATAGGTCCTAATAGTTTAATTTAATTCTCATCAAGTCCTATTGAAAATGAGTCTTAGTAAAATTGTCGGCAAAAATAATTTTTTTGTGACAATTTGTTATATGTCACTAGAAACTGACAATTAGTGACTTTTTTTGCCATGATTTTTATAAATTGTCGCTAAAACTTATAATTAGTGACATTTTTTCATGATAAATTTTTCTCATAGGACTTATTAGATAATAAATCCACTTATTAGGATCTACACGTAAATACCCAAACCCATTTAATTGATCTTTTCTTATACCTCGTACCATTTAACCTCTCACAAAGATGTAAACAAATGGTAAAAAGGAGGTAGAAAAGTAAATTGGATGCACCATAAATAGAGGGCTTTGAGACATGGGAGCTTCTATTTGCACACACAATATACACTCTTTGCACATCCTTCTCACTACACACACTAAAAAAAATAATTCTTAATTATTTTACTCACTGCACACACGGTTCATTCCACATCTACCGTCATACACACACACGCACCCCTGACCCTCAAACCCAGCTCTCCCAACTGTACCAATACACCCATTGAAGCTGAAGCTGCATTTCTCACATTACCGTGTTTCAGACATTACCCCATAGCTCCCTGCTTCACACAGTTTTCATCCCCAAAGCTGCATCCATCAAGACATCCCATTGAAGCATTCCAGCACATTTTCAATCCTCATTCATATTTAGGTGAGTTTACTTTTCAATCCCCATTCCTATTTAATTTGTAATGTAGAATTTTGTTTTTATCATTTTCAAAACGAACGATGGCCCACGGAGTGTAAACAAGTTGTTGGAACTGGTTTTCCGAAAGTAAGGAAGTTGTTCGGAAGTAGAAATCCGAAAGTAGTGATTTATTCAATAGTAGCTTTCCGAAATTTTTTCATTATTTCGACAGTCAACTTCCGAATATTTTAAATTTGGACAACATTCAACTTCCGAAATTAATTTTGTGTTTCGGTTGTCAACTTCCAAACAGTTTGTTTTTTTTTTCTTTTTTGTTTTTTTTTCCTCCCTTCTTTTGTATATTCTTTTTACAATTGCATAGTCATCAAACATATTAATTTTTACAGATAATATGGATTTTGAATGTCAACAACGTGTCCCACCTACTGCTTCAAATAGACGACGTCGTGAATTGGATGTTGACCATGAACGGGGACAAGGTTGTAGGCGAGGACAAGGTCGAGGTCGTGATCCAGTTTCGGTAGAATATGATATCCCCAGTGCCAGTCAAAGTCGAAGCTGAAGCCAACGACAAGTTCAAGGTGATGATATGCCTAACATTGCTGTGGTGGACGCCTCTTTACCCGATTCTCCTACTGTCCAGGAAGAGTACCTTACTCATGCATTTCCAGGTGGACCAACTGATCCATCAATATTGCGGAGTTTCAATAGTCATGTCGCTGCAGCTGTTTGGCACAGAGAGGTAAACATTCCTAAGTAGAAGTGAAATTCATTTGTATATGAGTTTTTTTTTTCTTTTTTTTGTTTGTGTGTTGTATGGTAGTTTCTAATGAGATATCATTTGTGTTATAGGAACGAGGGCCCCTAAAGTGTCATAATCACTCTTCAAAGATCCTTGCATGGCCATGGTGGTCAGTAGACAACAACACCAGATTCAAAGCCATTATTGAGTAGTCCGGGCTATCACAGTTAGCTCGTTGCACTTATCGGTTCATCAACAAAATCTAATCTCCAGTTTTGTTAAGAGATAGCAACCTGAGACGAACACATTTCACATGACAGTTAGTGAGATGACCTTGACCTTGGATGATGTTGGCACTATTATTAGCCTTCCCATTGTAGGCAGATCAGTCAGCGTACCAGATGTGACGAATCATCATGGAGTTACACTACTAGTTTCTGGCTTGGGTATTACTGAACGTGTAGCACATGAAGAGGTTTCTATTACTGGTGGGAATTCAGTCAGGCTTGAGTGGTTGCAAAGTCAGTTTACTGGTGTCACAGATTCAGACCCCGAAGAGGCTATACGGTGCGCTACTAGAGCTTATTTGTTGTTTCTGTTGGGATGTATGCTCTTCAGTGACAAGAGTGGCGGTAGGGTTCTTGTTGTTTACCTTGGCTTATTGATGGATTTGGGATCCATTCATACTTACGCCTGGGGTGCTACTGCATTAGCATTTTTATACAGACAGTTGGGGTATGCTAGCCGGTCCAGTGTTAAGTAGATGGGTGATTATATGACTCTTTTGGAGGCGTGGATTTATGAGCACTTCCAAGCATTCTGACCTCACCAGAACATGGGCTACAATGAAGACATGCCACACGTGTACCATTGGGCATCTAGAAGAGATGAGGGTTCCTCTATTGATCATTTGAAATCTTTTCGAGCGGAGCTTAACAGTTTGGTAGTGACTGATGTAAGTTTACTCGTTCTGAGATAATTTTAACACTTTCCATTTATCTTACCCTCTATATACTTTAATTCAAAAACACTTTACGTTTATAGGTTATTTGGGATCCATACCACAGCTGCAGAGACCGGCATCCATGTAACCTGGTTACGTTCTACCATAGATGCTTAAAGTGCTTAGATGTGGTCGAATCCTATCATCCAGATAGAGTTCTGAGGCAGTTTGGCAAGGTTCAAACCATCTCAGGTGCACCGCTAGCTCCCAGTCGTGGTGCTCAAGGCAACATATCTGCACGATATACAGTCATGTATAGATACTTGGATAGGATTTGGGAGGCTTGGGATAACCACGTGTTATTTGAGCAATAGAGGAGCACACCAGTTCGTCAGCCTTGGGAATGTATACCGGGTTACATGGATTGGTATAAGAATATCACGCACCTATATGTTGAGCATACTGATGAACCGCGTATCCATGACCATCAGGATTTCAACCAACATGTCGATGTAATATATTATCCTCTTTTATGCATTTGTAACGTAATTTTTATTTTCTGATATGTTCCCTAAAATGTGATATTCTTTTCAAATACAGCGTATTGTACATCTGCACATCCTATTATTGAGGCTGGTTATGAGGAGATGATTTGACATCCTCATCAACTTTACCAGGCTATCGAGACTATGACGCATGTCCTTGAAGGTCAGCACATTGACGAAGCTGGACCTAGTTATACTAGAGGTTGCTTTTCATCTCCGACACTGACATACAGTCATAGGCCCAAGCGTAGGCATGCAGCTGATTCGTGACATGTTATTTGTTAGTTGATGAATTTTTTGTAGTGTTTTTTTGTAAGATGACATTGTTGTAATGGTAACAGTGACTAATATTTTCTTATTAGAATGAAATGGCAACAATGGTTGATACCATTGAAAATGACATTTTATTATTAGAATGGAATGGTAACAATGGTCGTTGATTTTGTAAATGATATTTTGTAATTAGAATGGAATGGTAACAATGGTCGATAACATTCAATCCATGCCACAGAACACATCAACATTAAAAACACATCCATTAATTTCTTTCATAATTCTAACATTGTCAAATGCATACATGTGTCATGCGACATCAACAACATCAAATGTCTCTTGAGTAGCTACAGTATCATGAATAATGTCCTTGAAATGCTGAATGCGGTGCACATATGCATCATCCCAGTCGACAGCACAAGGGTGACGGTATTTTCGCCAATTAGTGGCTATAGGAGGAACTGGATGGTCTGGCTGCAAAAAAACCTGCACCAAATGTCAATTGAGTTAGTGCTCATACCTCATAACTTCTTGTACATGCACAAATTGATAAGTTTCTGTTATACCTGGACAAAATGATTTCCATTAACCAACCCAATGGCAATCTCGCGTCTATCAAGTTGAGGTACAAGCACTATTCTAAGAGGTAAAAAGGTGAGACATTGCTGCAATGACAAATGGTATAACACAAGATTGTAGCATGATGCAACAAGATGCCCCATGTCTGGCATAGTCATCCAATGTGAGTATCCAAGACTGTCTTCAAAGTATGATAATATGCTTGTCAATTCTTCAAACCTTTCGTAGGACCCATAATGTGTAATGTATTCCTCTTTGTGTGTGTACAGCTCACCCAAAAGATCACTCCTAACCTGAGCCCAATCATCTTCTGTATGACCAATTGAAGTAGCTATAGCCCTGAAACCACAATTCCCATCTGCAGCTATATCCTTGACAAACTTAATGTATGGTTTCAACCCAGAAGGGAAAGCATTAACATATGCACCTGTAGACACCCCATTTTTGATTGTCCTCAAGACTTGGACGTCACCGTTTGAACACTCAGTGATCATCCTTGTTTGTATTCGTCTTGAGTTCCCGGAGGTCTCGGCTACGCGCCTTGCCTCAGGATCTCTCGACTCGACTGTTTTGTGTTTGTTTTTGCACCAAACACTTGTGTTTTTGCTTTGGAGGGCAGGGAATGGCTTGTTGGCCATCCCCACACTCCACTGGCCATGGCTTAAGGCCACCGGCTGTGTTTTGTCGCCATCGGCCAAATGTTTGGCCGACCGACACTCTAGATGGTCGATTGGCCATCTATTTTGGTCAAATTGCATTTTTGGCTGGCCGACCACTGTTCATATGCTTTTGCAGATATTTTTATGCCAGCTGTGCTAGCTGGCATACACTTTGCTTCCCTCCATACACGTGTATGGAGGGATCTCCCTCTTGACTAGCTTGTTTGGAAAGCTTTACAAGAGGGATTGTCTATAAGAGGGAGCCTCCTCTCCCTCCATTAGGGTTACAAAATTTTTCAGAGCTTTGAGTTTTAGGGTTAGGGTTTGTTCATACTCTATCTCTATATCTCTCCCTTTCTTGAGTGTTTAGTGTGTGTTTGTTCTTACTATTGCACACAAACACCTACCATTACACCTTTCCTTAGTTGCTGAGGCATTAGAGGGTTGATCTTGGACTTTTTGAGCTGGTTTTGATCCAAGAAAAGGTCTGGTCTTGTGATCTTGGAAGTGTTCTTCAAGGGTGAGTGTTCTTGCCCTTTATTCCCCATTTTTGCATAGCTTTTTTGACTATCTTGTAACTATTTTTAGACTTTGCATATGACATATAAAAGTTCTATTTTTACCTGCTTAAAATAGTTGTTTAAGGTTTCTTTGAGCTTTAGGGTTGTTTGACCCCTCTTAGGCCTTGTTTGGCCCTATTTTTGTGCTATTTTGGTGAGCTCCAGGACCACCTTGTTTGGGCCTCCTCACCACTAAAATCTTGATGGACTTCAGTGGTGAGGATGGTGCCTTAAGGTCCTAAGAAGGAGAGGGCCACCCCCTCTCCTTATTGTCCTTGAAAAGGGCCATTTTAGCCTCATGTGTGAGCACCATTTTTAAGTGCGTTTTGGCCATGTCTTAGTTGTTATTTGTGCTTATTTTGTCATAATATAGCATTTTTTTTACTTGGTTTAGACACACCATGCTTGCCTTGCATACATGTCTTGTAATGCCATCATTTGCCTTAACATGTACTTAGCATGTAGATTACCATGCTTGCTTGTTTTGGCCAAGCTTTGTGAAGCTTTTTGGCTCGTTTTGCCATGCTTGAGGTCTGATATAGGTTGTCTTAGCCATGCTTTCCATGCTTTGTTTAGCCTCTTTGCATTCTTGGCTTGTAAGCCTCAAGTGTATGAACCATGAGCATGCATTACTTGCATTATTCCAGTGGTTTGGAACCATTTAACATGTCATTTCAGTCCTCATGACATGCTTGCATTCTTGCATTTGATGCCCCTTTAATGTGTTAAAAGGTTGTTGTCTTATGCCCCTTGTTTAGGGCCTTGCGCGTGCTTGCATGTTTAAGCCATTTAGATGCCATCTAGATGTGTTATTGGCTTTGTCTTAATATGCTAAAACTCTGATTTTGGTTGCTTAATTCATGCCATGTTCGATTTTGCTAAGTGTAGTTCAATACACCTTTGGCTTGCCTTGAATTTTGGCTTTGCTTGCATGCCTTGTTTGTCTTGTCTAGTTGGTTCGGCACCTTTCATGACTTGATTTTCAGAGCTTATAATGCATGCCATTTGTCCATGTTTTCATCCTCTTAGGTGTGCTTGAGAATTGCTCTTCAATGTCTAAGTGTTGGTCCTTGTGTGCGTGCATGCTTGCATGTTATTTGGTCCTCATTCTCTTTGCAATTGGCCACTGTTTTGGGCTTAGTATAGAGCTGCCCAAATTAGTTTAAGTCCATTATTCGCATGTTGTTGCATGCTCACCTTGTGTGTTGTTGCATACTTGTGTGTTGTTACATGTTTAGGTTGTTTAACATGTTTGCTCCATGTGTTGTTGCATGCTTGAACATCCACATTGCATCTTGCACACTTGTTGGTTTGCATTGCCTCATGCCTTGCATGCTTGCTTGCATAGGTTGTATGCCTAGTATGCATTGTGCATTGCATGCCCATGTTGCATACTTAGTTAACATGCTTAGGTTGCATTGCATTGGCATGCATGCTTTGCCTCTTGAATTGAGTATGATAGAGGTTGAGCCTCACTTGTTTATTTAATGTGCATCTCATTTGAAATCAAAGTGCATACTTGGTTTCTTGGGCCATCACGCATTGAAATGCGCGATTAGTGGTCTGAGAATCGAGAACCATGTCCCTTTAAGTCACAAACATGATAAGGGATGTGTTGGTGCACACATTTGCTTGAAATGCATTGTCATGCCTTGTTTTGCCCTCTGCTGCTGTCAAAACAGGTTCTGCAGGAAGTTTTGGCCGATCGGCTACATACAGTGCCGATCGACCAACAATTTGTGGCCGATATCTCCACAGGTGGTCGATGACCATTCCCCATGGCCGGTGACCATTCCACATGGCCGGTGGTGTTCCACAGCACTCAGAGAAGCAACCTTGGAGTTTGTGCAATTTTCAGAGGTGCCAAACAGTAAAAACAGAGGCAACTTGTGCATGGCAGTGGACTTCCAAACGGAACGGAGCATGCATTACATTGGGCCCTCTTCCCGAGGCTGTTTACTGTTTTATTAGATTAGTTAATTTGCTTAACAAGTTTAATTTGTCTGTAATAATTAATTAGCTTGTAGGTTAATTAATTGGATTATTCTTTTGGTCCCTCCAAGCGATGGCGAATTTGTAATAAGTGTGGGTGCGTGTGTGCATGTTTTCCAACCCCCACTTCTTTCTCCCTTTTACTTACCTGCTTTGATGGTTAGTATTAGGGCATATTTAATTTAGCATACCTTATGCTATGCATGCGTGTATCATTCATCAGCATTGCATGCACCGGGCTCGGCGCATCATGCTAACTGCATAAGTATTTCAAATCTAACTTGAATATGAGCATCAAATGGTTGCATTTCCCATGCCATCCTAGGATTAGACAAGCCTATCCTAATTGCATTATGTATGCGTTGCATTAGGCACTTAACATGGACTTGGATCATACATTGATTGCTAACGAGTTCTTTGTTTTGGCTTGGAATACACTGTAAGTATTTTGTGCTTTAGCATCTCGCACGAGTGTGAATGTTAACATGATAGCATGCTTACCATGTGGCTAGATGCTTATGTGATATGAACTGCCTGAATGCCTGTGGGTGAAGGTTGGATTGCTTGAGTTGGAACAACTCATCAAAATCCGTGTTTTAGCCTACTCACGAGTAGCAAATTTCAAAACATTTTCCAAACAAACAGATATGCGATGCTTTGTTCCAAACTAGGCGATCTAGTCTATACTTGTTTTGCTGTGCGCATCACATAGTAATTCTAGCTAATTAACCGGAATAAGAACACATAACGTTTTCAAAATTGGATATCATGGTTAGTAGAGGCCGATCTTCGGATTGGGCAAGAGGGGGTGCTCATAGCTGACCTTCCCCAATCGTACCCAAGTTCCAGAGCCGAGGAAACTTTGGTAACAACGGACACGTGGCCTTAGGCAAACGAGTCAGGGTTTCCTAAATTCCCCCATTAAAAAATATTTAGGTGGCGACTCTGTATCTGGCAAAGCAGTCTATGTTTAGAACTTCTTTTCTAAAAATCTGTTTTCTCAAAACGATTTGCCGAATTTGGACTCTTTGGTTCAGACTAAGAACCGTGACACAAAAGGGAGTCTGAACTGTGGTGGCATAAAGCCCGAGGGCGCGTCCACAGCACCAGGTTTCATTGTTCTAGTAATATACACATTCCCTTTAGCAATTACCTTTTCCTTTCCCTTAACAGGTCGCTTCTTCTTGGTTTCTAGAGTAGAAGCTAATGTAGTGAATTGAGTGTCCCTAGGCGAGAAGGAATCATGTCCAGATTGCACCAACTCAAATGCACATGGGTCACGACGGGTAGAAACATTGATCTTCTTATGATCCCGAGGACGTGTTTTGGGCTTCACCTCTGGCTCAACAAGAAAAGTTCTTCCCGGACATACAATCTCTTTCAACTTCTTCAAAAGCTCCAATCGCATGGTTCTATCACTTTCACTGAACTTTTTCACAAACAACTCTACTTCTACATGACAAGTCACCTCCGTTTCCTCTTCTTTGTTGTATATGGAGATATGAAGTTGCCTCCACTGTGAGTGTATGGTAGCAAGTGGTATAGGACGATCTTGTCTGATGTAGTCAACAATCTCATGGGCACAAGGTAAACCATGAGTGTAGCGAAGGACGCATCCACAAGCTTCAGCATCAATACCAATGGAATTGGCTCTCTTACTCTCTACAAGCAAATACTCTAATGCAGAGAAAGGCACATTACCCCGTAGCTCCCTGAACTGAGAAGGTTTAAATTGATGTTGCACAACAGTTAGACTTTTCTCAAATGAAGCCTTGATATCAGTGTGTTGCAACTTAAGCAGATTGTGTATTTTCTCAAATGATGCCTGAAATGAGACTTGACATGAACCCAATTGTCTTTTAAGTTTTACATATGCACTCTCAGCCCTGTTCAATTCAATGTAAGTGAAATTAAAATCAAGTACATGGCACTTATTAATAACATATTGAACAAAAGTAATCTTATCGGTTGGTTATAACAATGCCACAATGCAAACACGTGTTTGTCCATGCCGCCACAAATTTCTCCTTGTAAGGAACCAACCAAGTATCCATGACGTAGTTTATTGCATTCGAATAACTACTGAATTCCTTAAGTAATGATTTAAGATGCTCATCGTATTGAATTTCAGAAGATGAATACACTAAAGAGTTCCACTCATGGTTGAACTTCTCTCATTTCTGCTGTGTCTCAAATATTTTCTTGCATTTGGTCAATACATTTTTACCGATATGCCAATGACATAATAAATGTCTGACACTCGGGAATATCTTCTGTATGGCATTCATCAAGGTTAGCTCTCTATCAGTAACAATAATTGATGGCAAAACAAAACCATCCATGACATCACGCAATGTAGCTAACACCCACACATAGTTATCGGCTCTCTCATATTGTAAGTATGCGAAAGCTACAGAGAAAGTCATTTCAGTTGATGTCATTTCCACAATTTCAAGAAGAGGAAGACGATATCTATTTGTTTTATATGTGCAATCCATAATTACTATACGTGGGAAAGACCGAAATAAGTCCAAACTAGAAAGATGTACCCAAAACAAGTCTGTCACAGTCATCGTGGACTCTTCACATCGATGGCGCTCAATGTAATTATACTTGGCCAATTCACCCAATAAGTGTTGCATCTGTGATCTTCCAGCTCTCTGTACCACCTTGTTTCGATGGCGTACATTGTAAATGGTTTTAAGTGTGCTTACATTGAGGGCATCTCGCTGTTTCAAGGTTACTAGGATTTCTTTTGGCCGAACCATGCTCTTTGACATATCCATTAACAATGCTTTCTCATCCTTTGACAGCCTCCCCGCATATGAATGTCCCTCAAGGTGCTCTGCAAGTGGATGGTTATGCAATCCGCATACTCCGGTCAATGTCCATTCATCATGTGTGGTAAACCTGTGAGCCCTCATATCAAAAGGACAATCACACTTTTTCGTACCGGTTATTCTTAATGTATAGTTGTCATCATGTTTTAACTTCTTTGTCGCTCTATATTGGCCACTCCTCTCACAAGCAAGATACATCCTGGGACTTTTTTTCCCTCCACCATAGTCTGATGTTTTGATTACAGTGACCAAACCATTTTTCTTTCCAACTTCATGCACCCAGTTGAGCAATTCATCCTTACTTTTGAATACCTACAAAGTCAAATAAATATTATCAAACATTTACATTTGTTGAGCAATTCGAAACGTAATCATTATAATTTCGTAGAGTGAACCTATTCAGTTGTGAATTGAGTAGTGTAATCCAACACACTATCTGCACAAACCTAACTTCCTTGAATTAACACATATTCCTACATTCGGATAACCAGAGCCGAATTGTAAATTTGGGATGCAGTTTACAAATTTGGAATATAAAATGGGAAAAAAAAAATTTACTTCATTCGAAAGTACAATGTTGAACAAAATGATAATTTTCGGAAGTAGTTGTCTGAATTAATTTTAAAATTTCGAAAGTTGAATGTTGTAAAATTTAACTTATTTCGGACAACAACTTCCAAAATTAAATACTTATTTCGGTAGTAGATTTCCGAACAAAATGATATAATTCAGCTCTGGTTATCCGAACGACGCTGAAAAAAAAAAAAAAAAAAAAAAAAAAAAAAAAAAAAAAAAAAAAAAAAAACAAGACTTTTACATTGCAAAACTCATATTTCCTTGGCTATCTTTCTCATAAACATTTACTTGCTTCTGAAAATCTGAATTTTCAGAAGAGAAATCCTCCATAACAATGATGAATGAGGATGAGGTTAGTGTGTAAACTAATTGAAATGGAAAGCTATGAATGGACTTGGAGTTTCAACAGCAGTAGCAGCTACGAACTTGGAGCTAAACAACTTGAACAACAAATGGATGAACTTGGAGCTACACTGCTTAAACAACAGATGGATGTGAAGTCTGGATGTGTATTGAGACGTTTGTTTATTTGAATTGGGTATGATGTCTAAAATAGTAATTTCACTTAGGGATAAAATTGTAATAAAAATAAATATCATTAAATATGTGTGGGAGCTTCTATATACACACACCTAATCCCCTCAATACACACACTTAATGATATTTAATTTTATTACAATTTTATCCCTAAGTGAAATTACTATTTTAGACACCATTGTTAATTGAAATCATCTCAATGCACACCTCAGATGTGAATTCACATCTGTTGCATCGTGTGTGTGTGTAGCTTGTGGATGCTCATTCATAGCTTCTTCCATCAATTTCTGTATATGATGTTCATTGAGGTAGAAGTGAAACCAAAGGGCTTTGGCATTTCCAAGTTCATCAACCTTCGTCATTCGTAGGGAAATCATCATTGTTATGGAGGATTTGCCTTCTGAAAATTAGCAAATAAGTGTTCATGTGAAGCAGAGCGAAGGAAATGTGAGTTTAAATTTTTATTTTTTTTTCCCAGCGTCATTCGGATAACCAGAGCCGAATTGTGTTATTTGGTTCGGAAATCTAGTACCGAAATAATTGTGTATTTTCGGAAGTTGATGTCCGAACAAAGTAATAAATTTCGAAAGTTGTTGTCCGAACAACATATTTAAATTCGGAAGTTGTCCGAACAAAGGTAACTTTTACAACATTCAACTTCTGAAATTTTAAAAAAAATTCGGACAACTACTTCCGAATAAAGTAAATTTTTTTTTTCCATTTTATATTCCAAATTTGCAAACTGCACACCAAATTTACAGTTTCAAATTGCAAATTAATCTTTATAATGCCATTAAAAATTTGTAATGTTATAGAAAACATGCAGGAATATGTGTCAACTCAAGGAAGTCAGGTTTGCACGGATTTTGTGTTAGACTACACCACTCAATTCACAACTGAACAGGTTCAGTCTACGAAATTATAACGATTATGTTTCGAATTGCTCACCAAATGTAAATGTTTGATAATATTTATTTAACTTTGTAGGTATTCAAAAGTAAGAATGAATTGCTCAACTGGGTACGTGAAGTTGGAAAGAGAAATGGTTTGGTCATTGTAATCAAAACATCAGACTATGGTGGAGGGAAAAAAAGACCCAGGATGTATCTTGCTTGTGAGAGGAGTGGCCAATATAGAGCAACAAAGAAGTTAAAACATGATGGCAACAATACATCAAGAATAACCGGTACGAAGAAGTGTGGTTGTCCTTTTGATATGAGGGCTCACAGGTTTACCACACATGATGAATGGACATTGACCGTAGTATGCGGATTGCATAATCATCCACCTGCGGAGCACCTCGAGGGACATTCATATGCGGGGAGGCTATCAAAGGATGAGAAAGCATTGTTAATGGATATGTCAAAGAGCATGGTTCGGCCAAAAGAAATCCTAGTAACCTTGAAACAGCGAGATGCCTTCAATGTAAGAACACTTAAAACCATTTGCAATGTCCACCATCGAAACAAGGTGGTACAGAGAGCTGGAAGATCACAGATGCAACACTTATTGGGTGAATTGGCCAAGTATAATTACATTGAGCACCATCGGTCTGAAAAGTCCACGATGACTGTGACAGATTTGTTTTGGGCACATCCTACCAGTTTGGACTTATTTCGGTCTTTCCCGCGTATATTAATTATGGATTGCACATATAAAACCAACAGATATCGACTTTCTCTTCTTGAAATTGTGGGAGTGACATCAACTGAAATGACATTCTCTATAGCTTTTGCATACTTACAGTATGAGAGGGTCGATAACTATACATGGGTGTTAGCTACATTGCGTGATGTCATGGATGGGTTTGTTGTGCCAACAGCTATTGTTACTGACAGAGAGCTAGCCTTGATGAATGCCAGACAGAAGATATTCCCGAGTGCCAGACATTTATTATGTCGTTGGCATATCAGTAAGAATGTGTTGACCAAATGCAGGAAAATGTTTGAGACACAGCAAAAATGGGAGAAGTTCAACCATGAGTGGAACTCTGTAGTGTATTCATCTTCTGAAATTCAATACGAGAAGCATCTTAAATCATTACTTAAGGAATTCAATAGTTATCCTGATGCAGTCAAATACGTCATGGATACTTGGTTGGTTCCTTACAAGGACAAATTTGTGGCGGCATGGACAGACACGTGTATGCATTGTGGCAATGTTACAACGAACCGGTAAGATTACTTTTCTTCAATATGTTATTAATAAGTGCCATGTACTTGATTTTAACTTGACTTACATTGAATTGAACAGGGCTGAGAGTGCACATGCAAAACTTAAAAGACAATTGGGTTCATGTCAAGTCTCATTTCAGGCATCATTTGAGAAAATACACAGTCTGCTTGAGTTGCAACACACTGATATCAAGGCTTCATTTGAGAAAAGTCTAACTGTTGTGCAACATCAATTTAAACCTTCTCAATTCAGGGAGCTACGGGGGAATGTGTCTATCGACCATTTCATTCTAATAATAAAAGGTCATTACAATACCATTGTTGTCATTCCATTCTAATAAGAAAATATTAACCACTGTTACCATTACAACAATGTCATCTTACAAAAAACACCAAACAATATTCATCAACTAACAAAATAACATGTAACAACATAACATGTCACGAATCAGTTGTATGCCTACGCCGAGGCCTACGACTGTAT